GACAGAGCTGGCTGAAAAAATTATAAATACAGTTTGTAGAGGAATAGTAACATTGATCTTCTTCAGACTTCTGCTGGGGGGCTGGAAAGTTATAATTTTTAAGAAAAAAGAAAAAGCTAGGAATTAACCTATTTTGCATCTTGAGTTCAATGAATTGCAGTCCAGATTTATGAGATTTCATACTCTGCCTTTGCACATTTCCCATTTTCAAATAGACTTCCTATTTTGTTCCATCAAAACGATCCAAACCAGTGACGTAAAAGGATATTTCCGAATTTGAAAAGGGCCTTTTCCATTTGAGGAAAAGAAGGCTGAAAACCTGAAACATTTTTGTCTTCTGGAGGTGGGCACTGGGTGCCAGGAGGGACATGGCGCTTTGGACGCCTCTCTTCAGCCTGTTTCCTCACAGCTCTGTTTTCCCAAAACAGCGAGCACATTACAGCTTTGATGGGTTGATGTGTATTCTCCACAAGAGAAATGACCTGCAGGAATTTCCTAGCTTTCCTCTGTATACATCACAGTAAGGCTAAAGAAACAGAAGTCAGCAGGGTTCCCATTAATCTACAACCTAATAAACTAGCACAAGTTATTGTTATTGTAACCCAAGATACTGGAAAATGGACAGACGTGTTTTACTAAAAGTGAATTTGTTTCTAGACTGTTGTGGCTATACGTCTATTTACCCTGTCCCTCATTCCAGCTTCTCTCTTTATTTTGCTTTCATATGACACTGCTGAGCAGTATCCAAAAAGATCTTTGTGGTTCAATTTCACTTCTGCAGTCAGGCTCATGGTTTCAGCTTAGTTGAGCCTTGTAGTGATGGAAATGATCCTTTGAAAACTTAATGTCTTTCATCTCTATGCAAAAATGGCAAATGTTCAGGATATGTTTTGCTGAATTCTTAATCTACACGGTACTTAATGTAAAAACTCCTCTCTCCAGTAACCCTGCTGCAATGCATAACACCAAAAATACTGATGCTTCTTGTTAAACATGGGCCTGATGCAAAGATCACTTTTAACAGTCGACTTGGACCCTGTCCTAGCTAAATCCCTTTGTACAAATCATCCATCACCTTTTTCTCTGACAGGTGATTCAGAGGGCTTTTCAGAGATAGAGCTTGACAGGAGGGGCGAAGAGGGCAAAGTTGTTTATATCCATATCCTGAAGCCCATGTAAGTGGGAGGGAGGAAGGCTGCCTCTTCATCTTTGTCGACCTGTGAAATGGAAATGCTACACATGCGTTCAGAGATGCAGGAAAGGTTGTGTAGCTCTGTCACAGGGACTGTAACAAGGCTGGTCCACTTATGGTTTTACTCAGGAAGAACTCTTGCTCTTTAAAGTCGTGACCTGCCCTAATCCAGATCTAGACAGTCTTTTATTGCTTTGTTTAGGGAGATTTAAAGGTATCTTCCTGTATATCCTAGAAAACTTGGTTTTCATAGGTTTCTGAAAACTTCAGAATACCATTTCTAGTTTTAAAAAACATCCTAGATGCCGTGCATTTCTCTGGCCTGCTTTTCATTCCTGCATCTCCCTCCAAGGGTTGCATCAAGCTGGACAGAGAAATCTTTTATTCTAATATAAACAACATTGAACTTTGTGGCCCAGCAGCCTGGATCATCGAGGTGCCCACGGTCATTCCCTCAATCCAAGGACCATGTTAGCAGAGCTGCGTTTCTGCCTCTAGTTCAGTTCTAGTGAAGGCCACATATGCCTCAAATAATCCATTTCTTAAGTCATGTGGGAAACAACCAATAAATAATTTAATCCAGGGAGGGAAAGTTTGAGCAAGAGCCAGTGAAAATGTTCCCATGTTTAAAGAGTTTTTAGATTTAGAAATACAATTTAGGCTAATGTGAAAATCTAACATACAAAAGGATCAAATGGCAGCCTTGTAGCCTCAACCCAGAGGAAAAATAACTAATAAAATCAGTAGGACTGCAGAATTCAGAGTGGGGAAAAATCACCCAAATCTATCTATTTTCCAGTTCTCCCATAATGAATACGCTCAATCCCTTATTCCAAAAAAGATATTGTGGTTTTAACAATAATGTTTTAAAAACAAATATGAAATGTTTTGCTTGCATCCTAGAGAAAGGGTGACTGCAGCTGTGGAAGGCTTCTGCTTGGCAGCACCAGCCTACACCATTACCCTACTGCTGCAGTATCTTCTTGCACCATGTCCCTGAGCTGCCTCCTCGCTCAACCCACAGCTTTCCTACAGACCCTGAACTACACACCTATGTACAGTCAGATAAATCACACACTAAAATCCATAAACTGTGCAAACGGGGGCTGAGCACCTTGCTCAGCAGGAGGCAGCTCCACTGTGGATGTTTTGGTGGGAGGAAACCCACCTGCTGGTCTCCCAGTCCTTCTGCTGACATCTCTGTGAAAGCCAAACAGGCATTTTGGGGAAAATCAAATGCAAACCGCAGGAGAAAATGATTCACACCAAATAGCTAGTAAAAAATAAAAAAGAGAGAGGATGAGAAATGCTGATAAGTTCACCCACACTTTGCAGTGGCCATGGACCAAGGTATCTCTTTCAAATGCAGAGAAGCCGAGTTTCCCTCATGACTGGAGGACAGAGACATTCTTCAGTAATGCTATATGTACCTGTCTGCCAGGTACAGGGAGCTCCACAGTATCCACAGGGAGGTCTATGCACAGCCTACATATCATCCACGCACATCCAACCACTGGAGACTTCTCCACTGCCTTGGTGCAAAACTTTTCCCAGGGAGATTGTTATCTCTTGGAGACGGTGCAATCACTACCTGCTTTTCCTGAACTCCAAGGCCTGAAAAGAGCATTACCATAAAATCCAGTAATGCAACAGCTTCAGTGAGACCTTCTGGCTTCCCAGAAAGGCTGAATGCAAAGACACTGTGCACTAAAACTGATGTGAATGTGGCCTTAGTGCTCCCCATGTCTGCCAGCTGCCAGCACCACATACTTAGATGTCATCTTCCCAGAAAGCCTTG